AAGATCCATAGGATCACTTCAACAGTTAAAGGCATTTCATACAATTCAACATTGATTTCTGACTTTTTAAAAAATAAAACTCTCAGCAAACTAAGAATGTAAAGAAACTTAGTTGGCACGAGAAAGAGCATCTATCATGGACCTGCCGTTAACATGCATCATGGTGAAAAGCGGAATGTTTTTCCATAAGATGGACAGTACAGAAATGTCTACTTTCACGACTTCTATGGAGCATTGTTCTGAAGATTCTAGCTAGTACATTCAGGCAAGAGAAGTAAGTAAAAGGTATCCAGATTGGAAGGAAGAAGCAAAACTGTCTTTATTCACAACATGATCACAAAATAAGGTGAGTAAATTCCAAACTGTGTGTCAGCTTCTTTTTTCTAAATAAAGCTTTAGTGGAATATAGCTATATTTATTAATTTTTGGATTGTCTATGGTTGCATACATACTACAATAGCAGAGTTGCAACACAGACTGTTTGCCATAAGTCTGAAAATATTTTCTATCTCTAGTAAGAGAGTGGTTTGAGAAAGGAAAAATTTAACCTTTGATCTATGTAGAAAATCTGATCAAATCTACTAAAAAAGCTACTATAACGAACAAGTGAGTTTAGCCAAATTCTAGGATATAGAATCAACATTCACAAATGAACTGTGTTGCTATGTACTAGCAATAAACAAATTTAATTTTTAAAAATACCATTTACAACTTCATAAAAAATGAAATACAGATACTCCTGATAAAATATGGAAAGACCTACATGCTAAAAATTACAAAATATTACTGAGAAAATTAAATACAACCTATGTAAATCGAGAGATACACTTTATGAGTGGAAATATTTATTATTTTCAAGATGTGAATTAACCTATAACTTAACCTATAAATTTAACCCATATGTACAACAAAATCTCAATTAATTCTCAACAAGCCAGGAGGCTTCTTTTAAATTGACAAACTGATTATAAAATTTATGTAAAACTGCAAAGGATCTAGCATAGCTAAAATAACCCTGATAATATTATAAAATGAGAAGGTTGATTTCAATACTCTTACAAATCAATAGTAGTCAAAACAGTGTGACGCTGGTACAAGTGGAGTATCCCTGATCCAAAATTACTGGAATCAGAACGGTTTTAAATTTTGAATTTTGGAATATTTGCATATACATTATATCTTGGGGATAGAACCCAAGTATAAACACAAAATAGTTATTTTTTATACATACCTTATTCATAAAGACAATATAATTTTAAACAATATTTTCAATAATTTTTTTTTTTTTTTTTTTGAGATGGAGTCTCGCTCTGTCGCCCGGGCTGGAGTGCAGTGGCCGGATCTCAGCTCACTGTAAGCTCCGCCTCCCGGGTTTACGCCATTCTCCTGCCTCAGCCTCCGAAGTAGCTGGGCACGCCACCTCGCCCGGCTAGTTTTTTTTTTAAGTAGGGACGGGGTTTCACCGTGTTAGCCAGGATGGTCTCGATCTCCTGACCTCGTGATCTGCCCGTCTTGGCCTCCCAAATTGCTGGGATTACAGGCTTGAGCCACCGTGCCCGGCCCCATCATCTTGATGATGAAACAGTTTGTGTGCATGAGGTCTGGTATGGAATTTTCCTTTTCTGGCATCATGTTGAAAATCATCAAGTTTTGGATTTGGGATTATTTCAGATCTGGGAGATTTGGATTATGGATGTTCAACCTGTATAAATAAAGTCAAATGTAGACAGTCCCCAACTTAAGTTGGTTTGACTTACTGAACTTGATAACGGTTTTATTGAAGTATTAAACAAAGGCACAATGGCAATGCATGAACACAGGATTGCCTTTTCAACCTATGATGCTGGAACAATTGTATATCCATATCCAAAAAATGAACTTGAATCCATAACTTACTCCATATACAAAAATAGACTTAAGTAGATCATAGATTTAAATGTAAGATGTAAAACTATAAAATTTCTAGAATAAAGCACAGGAGAAAGTCTTTGTGACTATATGCTAGGGAAAGATTTCTCAAATATGACGTATAATGCAAAATCTATAACTGAACAAATAAATTGAAGTTTATTAAAATTAAAAACTCCTCTTCAAAAGTTACAATTAAAGGAACAAAAAGTCAAACCATGAACTGAGAAAAAATCCTGGTGAAAATTATAGCTAATAAAGGAATAGTATTCAGAAAATATAAAGAACTGTTAAGGTTTAACACGTAAGGAAACAACCACCTATTTTTTTTAATGGCAAATGATTTAAAAAGACAGTTCAGCAAAGGTATGCCGATGGCAAGTAAGGACATGGAAAGATGCCCTACATTATTACTCACTAGGACAATGCACATTAAAACCACGATAATATGCATAATACACAGTGTTACGGTGCTCCTTTAGCTCCACTGTCTGTGGACTATGGCATGTTAGCAGTTCAGTATACCTATCAGAATAGCCAAAAATAAAAATATGAAAACAGCAATACTTACTGTTTGTGATGAAACAGAGCAACTAGAACTGTCAAATAATGTTTATGGGAATGGAAAATGGTACAGATATTTTGCAAAACAATTTAGTAGTTACTTAATAAGGGAATATAAAGAAACACAGGAGACTTTGGAGGGTGATGGATATGTTAACTATCTAGATTATGGTAAAAAATTTCACATGTGTATTTGTCTGTCAAAATTTGTCAAATTGTAGATCATCTTACATCAAAAAGTGTAAAAAACTGTCAGAGGACAACAATAATGAAAAACAAAGACTTCAGAGAAGCAGTAATGTCTTAAAGCCAAAAGTTTTAATGGGCTTGATGTACGGAAAGAAAACAAATCACAGGGTTACTCAAGGTAAGAGATCTGGTCCAAACTCCCACATAAAGCTGGGACCACAAAAGAGGACTCTCACAATCAAATGGAGACTGAAAAAGAAGCAGCTTAGACCAAGTTTTCTTACAGAAAGAGACACAAAGGCAGCCATCTCAATCTTGGTTTTCAGGTGCAGAGGGAGAAGTCATGATGCCTACTCTTTAATTTTCTAACCAAAATCTGTTATTATATGGGCCTGAGGCCAGAATGTGTACTACTACTGTTCCTTCCCAAAAACTCAATCTGAGTATTCGGAGTAAATTTTATTTTATAGCACCTGGCTGCTGCATACTGAAAAATTGTTAAACAACTTAAACACAGGCCTTAAAGAGTCTTTCCAAATAAAGTTTAGATGATTGAAATAGATTTTTAAAATATGTAACATTTATAAAACCACTATTAAAAATTATTAGAAACAACAAAAATAACTACTTAAAAAATGCTGCAGATTCTTTAATGATCAGACATTAAATATATATAAGTAGCTTAATGTATTTCAAGAAATAAAAAGTAATATTAAAACTGTAGACAAGTATTAAAAGATAATCAAATAGAATGATAGGCCTGAAAGTCTAGAAATAATATAAAATTGTTAGAAATGATAAACAGTTGGAAAGTAGAAACTCAATAGATCATTTAAAGAACAAAAGTCAAGAAGAGTTTAATAAATTAAAAGATCTGAATGAATAAAATGAAGGACAGACTTTTATTTATTTATTTTTATTATACTTTAAGTTCTAGGGTACATTTGCACAATGTGCAGGTTGGTTACATATGTATACATGTGCCGGGTTGGTGTGCTGAACCCATTAACTCATCATTTACACTAGGTATATCTCCTAATGCTATCCTTCCCCACTCCCCCCACCCCACACCAGGCCCCAGTGTGTGATATTCCCCTTCCTGTGTCCAAGTGTTCTCATTGTTCAATTCCCACCTACGAGTGAGAACATGCAGTGTTTGGTTTATTGTCCTTGTGATAGTGTGCTGAGAATGATGGTTTCCAGCTTCATCCATGTCCCTACAAAGGACATGAACTCATCCTTTTTATGGCTGCATAGTATTCCATGGTGTATATGTGCCACATTTTCTTAATCGAGTCTATCATTGATGGACATTTGGGTTGGTTGGTTCCAAGTCTTTGCTATTGTGAATAGTGCCGCAATAAACATATGTGTGCATGTGACTTTACAGCAGCATGATTTGTAATCCCTTGGGTATATACCCAGTAATGGGATGGCTAGGTCAAATGGTATTTCTAGTTCTAGATCTTTGAATCGCCACACTGTCTTCCACAATGGTTGAACTAGTTTACAGTCCCATCAACAGTGTAAAAGTGTTCCTATTTCTCCACATCCTCTCTGGCACCTGTTTCCTGACTTTTTAATGATCGCCATTCTAACTGGTGTGAGATGGTATCTCATTGTGGTTTTGATTTGCATTTCTCTGATGGCCAGTGATGATGAGCATTTTTTCATGTGTCTGTTGGCTGCATGAATGTCTTGAGAAGTGTCTGTTCTGTTCATATCATGAAGGACAGACTTTTGATAGCTACAAGAGGCAGTGAAATGCCTAGTCAGATAGGGTGTGTCCCTAGTGAAACCCTATCTCCAAGCCAAAGACAATTTAAAGCCTGAAAGTCAAGCTACAAGTTAAATCCTTGAACCAGATTCAGAACTTGTCTTCCTGTTTGGCACACTTTCCTCTGATTGATCTCTACCCTTCACCTATTATACATATACCTACCCTTTCCTAATTGGTTTTCCATGCTGTCATGCCCACCTTTGAGTAGTGTCTTTGCTTTAACCTTTTGTGCGTACTCACAAACCAATCAGTACACACTCCCCATCCTGTGCCTATAAAGACCTCAGACTCAGCCAATAAAGGAAGAGACAGCCTGACTTCAAGGATGACCTGCCCTTTCTATCCCCTCTTTGCTGACAGCCATTTTCATTGCTCAATTTCTTGGATGCCGGACAAGATCTTGGGACCCACCAAGTGTGGACACACAGAAAGGCTGTCACACTGGAACTCTGCCCTCACCAGTGGAGGAAGGCCACCCCACATGAGGAAGCAAAGGGCCAAATAAGCTGCTAACATATCATAGTGTGTAGATGGTGGTACTAAAGGAGCATTGTAGTACCTTCTCTGGGGCTTCAGTGCCACGGACATCCTCACCTGGGCACCACCACATTCCTCTCAAGGTGACATTTCTGGTCTGGCCGTGGTCCCACATGTAGCTTGTTCCTGTGTCAGCAACTGGAACAGCTGGCCAGATCCTGCACTTGATTGCTTATGTGTTCCCTCCTAGAAGGGGTAGAGCATGGCAGGTTAAGTAGATAGGCATCCCTTCCACAAGTACAGTGAAAAGATGAGAAAAATCCTGCATCATCTGTGGGCTCATCTGGAATACCTGAAGGGTGAGTAAATGCAGACTTAGATTGTTCATTTTTTCTGAGGCTTCTTGTACTCAGTTTTTTCTGAAGGCAGATAAAGAACCAAATCAAGCCAATGACGAATGAATGGCTTAAGAATGAATGGTACAGTTATAGGGGACAGAATGCTGCAGAAGAACTCGACACCCACTCACCGTTTCTCTCAGAGGTTGGGAATGTCAACCTCCTTCCAGTCTAGACTTTTCTATGGCATTTTTCTTCTTCTTCTTCTTTTTTCTTTTGGTTGTGCAATGGCACCTGTCTCCTCTTTTACAACGTTAAGGGTGTGGTTGCAAACTACGGATATATGACTGGGTGGAATGAACATTTGGCCCATCAATCAGATATGCAATTCAGAACAATATGTTTTTCATCTATTCTTAGAGATAAAGAGAAAGCCGAGACTGAGTTTCTCTCTCTGCTGGAGGAACCAATTTGTGTAAAGGAAGAGGTCTTTTCTCCCAGGCACCTTTCCCTCTCTGCACATAAACTGTTTTTTTGTTTTTCCACCATGTCAGGGGTTCACACAGCCCTGCAAAACACAGGGAACATTTCTCTGTGGGAGTTTTTTTTTTTTTTTTTTTCTTTTTCTTTTGAAAGGTGCCTTACTAGGTCAGGACCCCAATTCATGGGCTCCCTAACTTAAAAGAGTTCATGCACACTCCTGAGACACCTTTTTGTCCCAAACTCAATTCGAAGCCTTGGGTTGAAGCCCTAGAAGGGAAAACTAGATCTAAGGGATCTAAAGGCAGGCAACAACAGAAGACAAGGGGCACAGTGCAGGTGAGCATGACTAAATTCTGCTGATTATGTCCACCTAGAGGCTATGCTAGTATCCATCACATAGATGAGGTCTGGGAAACTCAAAGATTACTGACAGCACAAGGGAAAGGCAGCATGTGGGTGAGTGCAGATAATTTCCACCCTCTAGGCCCCCTTTTAACATGGGTAAAAGTGGCATTGGCACCCATGGGCAGCACCCTGCTGAGATCACTGGGACTCAGGGATACAAGGATGGAAGAAAGGGGATGTCTTTTGCTTCTCTCTCACACATACCCTGGATATTCACTGGGTAGGAAAAGGAACTGAGGGACGCCTCTCTTTTCCTCTTTCCAGATGTGTAACTAATCATCTTCAATCTGTACTTCTCTTGAATACCTCCTGAATCACTGGGACTTCTTTTAAAAAAAACCTTTTCATTTTTTCTCCTCTGTCCTCCCTTTTTTCCTTTTTCTCCTCTGTCCTCTCTTCACAGATGGGTAATTGTGTCCCTTTACCACAGGACACTCCCTTCAGATGCATCCCCCAAACTAGGAAAAGTTAATTTCCCCAAACCTTAAACTACTTGGCTTAAAATTGAGCTTTGGGGGAAGGGAATGCAGGAGTCTGCTATGCTGGCATAAGACTAAACTTTTTTTTTTTTTTAACCACTCAGACTTCTGGCCTCTCTCTCCCTGTGCAAACCAGAAAAAGGAACGGTAAAGAGCACTGTAAAGTTTTTTTTTTAAAACGGGATGAGGTCTCCATCTTGTTTTACACCCTTGAGAGCCTGACCTTGTACCCACATGGCAGTACTTTCTTTTGGTCTCTGCCATTTTACAATGTGTCTCAAGTTCAATCCTGGCTTAGAGAATGAGCACTTTCCGGTTAATATTTGTGTGACTTTTACCATTTGCTGATTCTCTTCCCTTCCATGAACAACTTCTAGCTTCCTTTATTAAATCTTCCTTTCTCTGAGCTACCTTTAAAAATTATAGTTTTTTTTTTTAACCTCTGAATCTACTTCCTCTGATTCCTGCCTCCTAGGTACTAATGGTTCAGACTTTCATTTCCTCTAGCAAGTTGTATCTCCAAAGGGATCTAAAGAAGCTCTATGCTGCATCCTTAGGCATCTAGGCTATGAACCTAGGGAGTCTTGTTCCTGGTGGCCCTCCCAGTTTAGATATACACCTCTCAACAGGCAGTTATGTGGGACCCACTCCCCACCACTCTTGCCAGGGCCCCAAGTTTGTAAATGGCGCAGAGAAAAGAGAGAGGAGAGAGAAAGAGAGACAAACAGAGAGGGAGTCAGAGAAAGAAAGAGAGACAAAGAGACAGAGAGGGAGTCAGAGAAAGAAAGAGAAAGATAGAAGTAGTAAAGAAAAAACAGTATGCCCTGTTCCTTTAAAAGCCAAGGCAAATTTAAAACCTATAATTGATAACTGAAGGTCTTCTCTGGGACCCTGTAACACTCCAATACTACCTTTTGTCAGTGTAAACAAGGGTGTAGCCTGAAAACACTGAGACCACTGACAACCCGTAGCCTTCCTATCAAAAATCCTTAACCCAGTAACCCGCAGATGGGCCAAATGCATTCAGTCGGTAGAGGCAACTGCTTTGCTAAAATTAGAAAAATAACTTTTAGAGGAAATCTCATTGTGAGCACACCTCACCAGTTAAGAACTATCCTAACTCAAAAAGGCAACAAAGTATCTTACTAACTCAAAAATCTTAAAGTATGGGGCTATTCTGTTAGAAAAAGGTGATTTAACATTAACCACTGAAAATTCCCTTAACCCAGCAGATTTCGTAATAGGGGATTTAAATCTTAATTACCATACAAAGGTCCAACCAGACCTAGGAGGAACTCCCTTCAGGACAGGACGACAGATGGTTCCTCCCGGGTGACTGAGAAAAAACCCACAATGGGTATTCAGTAATTGATAGGGAGACTCTTGTGGAAGCAGAGTTAGGAGAATTGTCTAGTAATTGGTCTGCTCAAACGTGTGAGCCATTTTCACTCAGCCAAGCCTTAGAGTACTTACAACATCAGCAAGCCCATCTTTTTCTCCTCACTCTCCTTCTCATAGGAAAAAAGTACATAGGATAAACAGGATCCATCTCTCATATTTCATACCCAAAAGGACTGAACCCGGGGCAACAAAAAAGTTTAAGATCGATAATTAGGGCATATTCCTACAAAGGAAAAGAAGGACAAAGACCCTAGCAGGCAAAAACTCCATCTCACTCCTGACTCAAAAGGCTACCTATACCCTCTCTGAAACAAATTTGCGTAAGAACTCCTTTGTTAGGGAGAGACATCCTAGCAAAAGCAGGGGCCATTATACACTAGAATCAGGAGAAGGAAAAAGGGTAAATATATACACAGACTCTAAATATGTTTACCTAGTCCTCCATGCCCACACAGCAATATGGAGAGAAAGCGAATTCCTAACTTCTGAGGGAACACCTATCAAACATCATAAAGCCATTAGGAGATTATTTTTGGCTGTACAGAAACCTAAAGAGGTGGCAGTCTTACACTGCTGGGGTCATCAGAAAGGAAAGGAAAGGAAGGGAAATAGAAGGGAACTGCCAAGCAGATTTTGAAGCCAAAAGAGCCGCAAGGCAGGACCCTCCATTAGAAATGCTATAGAAGGACCCCCAGTATGGGGTAATCCCCTCCAGGAAACCAAACCCCAGTACTCAGCAGAGGAAATAGAATGGGGAACCTCGCAAGGACATAGTTTCCTCCCCTCAGCATGGCTAGCCACAGAAGAAGGAAAAATATTTTGCCTGTGGCTAACCAATAGAAATTACTTAAAACCCTTCACCAAACCTTTAACTTAAGCATTGATAGCATGCATCAGATGGCCGAATCATTATTTACTAGACCAGGCCTTTTCAAAACTATCAAGCAGATAGGACCTGTGAAGTGTGACGAAGAAATAATCCCCTGCACTTCAGGCCATACATTTGAATGCCTGTAGCTTTAATCTCCTTGTTAAGTTTGTCTCTTCCAGAATCAAAGGTGTAAAACTACAAATGGTTCTTCAAATGGAGCCCAGATGCGGTCCATGACTAAGATCTACTGCAGACCCCTGGACTGGCCTGCTAGTCCATGCTCCAATGTTAATGACATTGAAGGCACCCCTCCCGAGCAAATCTCAACTGCACGACCCCTACTATGCCCCAATTCAGCAGGAAGCAGTTAAGAGCGGTCATCAGTCAACCTCCCCAACAGCACTTGGGTTTTTCTGTTGAGAGGGGGGACTGAGAGACAGGACTAGCTGGATTTCCCAGGCTAAGAATTCCTAAGCCTAGCTGGGGAAGGTGACTGCACCCACCTTTAAACACAGGGCTTGTAACTCAGCTCACACCTGACCAATCAGGTAGTAAAGAGGGCTCATTAAAATACAAATTAGGCTAAAAGCAGGAGGTAAATAGTCAAATCATATATCGCCTGAGAGCACAGCAGGAGGAATAATGATTGGGATATAAACGCAGGCATTCAAGCAGGAAGCGGCAACCCCCTTGGGTCCTTGGGTCCCCTCCCATTTTATGGGAGCTCTGTTTTCACTCTATTAAATCTTGCAACTGCAAAAAAAAAAAAAAAAAAAAAAAAAAATTGCAGGTTTTGTAGAAACTGCTTGCTACCTCTTTAAAAATACCTCATATGCCGGGCGCGGTGGCTCACGCCTGTAATGTCCCCACGCACCTGCTCCTTGAGGAGCAACCGAGCCGTCGGGGCGAGGACACTATAAGGTCAGGAGATCAGTAGATCCAACTCGAGTGAATCACCACGGTGAGAATTTGGGTGGGGACACCGGCGTCAAAAGACACAAAAATACAATAAAATTAAGGCCAGGGCCACAGAGTATAGAGCAGGGGCAGCTACTGCGTAGTCCCAGCTACTCGAGGAAAAAGTGAGTTTTGCGTAAGGCAGAGAGACCACACTGACAGAGCTGCGAGGTGTGAGCTTGTATGTGAGTTTTAAAGCCTGTGTGATTAGACAAAGCTTTACACCAAGACACATGGGCGAAACAGAGAGCAGATGACACTAAAATAACATATTCCGTATCTCAAGTTAAAAAAAAAACCATAAATTACCCG